TTTGGTCTATGATATGAAACACAGAGAAACAGACTCACCCCTTCTTTAAAGATGTTAAAGAGAAGACACAACTGAAGCCAGAAAATGACACAGAAACAGAAGCAACTAGACACAACCTATAGAACAACTTCAAAAGAGAGAAGGAAAATTACCACAACTTTGTTCTGAGCCCTTCATTGGAAACATCCATTTTCATTGCTAAAATTGGGATTTTGAAGTAAAGGAATTTTCTCAATGCTGCTATGGACATTTTTGGTACTAGGCATGAACTCAGGGCAGATGCGTCATCTTGAGGATGCAAGTGAACCAAGTGAATTGTGTTTAGGATGAGGTGATTTGAAATGCTAGGTCAAATGGACCTAAACGGACTCCGGATGCACTCAATACACATGCGTATCTACACAACCAGGTCAGCGTGCATGTTCTTGTTAGGAAGTATGTGCTGGGGCTTTGTAATCAGTGGCAGCTGTCACAGGATCAAAAGCTCAAATTCTACCTCTAGCATTTACCTGCTGAATGACTTCAGGCTAAGTAAGCCCTTCCAAAATGGGTGTCATCTTTAAACAAATGATGGTAAAAATACTCCCCTCATAGACTGTTGTAAAGATTAAAGGAGATGTTGCCTGCAAAACTCTAGCTCATAGTAAGCACTTCTCCTTCTTTGTCCCTCGATTTTTTTTTCCATATTACATTTTATGCACCTTAGAAAAATCAAATGATGACAAACTGGTTTTAAAGTTTATGTGGAGAGACAAAAGACCCAGAATAGGCAACACAATGTTGAAAGAAGAGAACAAAGTCAGAGGACAGACACTACCCAAGCTGAAGACTTCCTGTAAAGCTACGGTGACCCAGAAAGTGTGGTATTAATGAAAGAATAAACAAAGAGATCAATGGAACACAATAGAGAGCCCAGAAACATAATCAACTGATCTTTGACACAGGAGCAAAGTCAATGCAATAAAGACAGTCTTTTCAACAAATGGTGCTGCAAAAACCGAACATCACATGCAAAAAAGTGAATCTAGATACGGACCTTACACCCTTCACAAAAATTAACTCACAATGAATCAAAGACTTAAATGTAAAATGTGGAACTATAAAGCTTCCAGAAGACAGCATAACAGAAAACCTAGATGGCCTTGGGTATGGTGATGACTTCTTAGATACAACACCAAAGGCATGATTCCTGAAAGCATACATTAATTTCATTAAAATTAAAAACTTATATTATGTGAAAGATAATGTCAAGTAAATGAGAAAACAAGCCACAATCTGGGTGAAAATATTTGTGGAAGACACATCTGATAAATGACTGTTATCCAAAATATACAAAACACCCTTAAAACTGAACAATAAGAAAACAAATAACACGATTAAAAAACTGGCAAAAGACCTTAACAGACATCTCACCAAAGAAGATATACAGATGGCAAATAAGCACGTAAAAAGATCCCCCACAAAGGAACAATATCCACATTATAGGGGTACCAGACAAACAAGAGAGAGAAAAAGGGATAGAAAGTGTCTTTGAAGAAATAATTGCTGAGAACTTCCCCAAACTGGGGGAGGCAATAGTTGCTCAGACTACAGAGGCACACAGGACTCCCGAGAGACGGGATCCAAGGAGGGCAACACCAAGACACATAATAATTAAAATGGCAAAGATCACGGACAGGGACAGAGTATTAAAGG